CTCCTCCGTAAACACCTGGTAGCAGACCTTCCAAGAGGGTGGGAGGAGATGGTACAGGAACAGATAAGGGCATCTTCAGTGTCTTCCATACTGGGTTTGTTCCATGTGGTCTGGGCTGGGATGGCTCCACATTGCTCTAGACTTCTTGCTCAGGTTCACTCCGAAAATACCTTCTTAATATTTATCCTCTCCTGATTCCTTTTCTCCCTGTCCTCTTTCCCCACTCACCCCTCTTTACCTGCCCTTCCTCCATAAACAGCATTAACACCTGCTGTGTATCCTGTCATAGCTTTCCTTATTGCTCACATAATCATACCTAGCCATCAGTCTATTTTACATGTATGGATTTTGTTTTTGCTATACAAATAAGAGCAATTTAAAAAATATATGTTGCTTTTCTCATGTCACAATATGTTGTGGAAATATCACCAAATCAGCTGGTATAGATCTAACCATTCTCTTTATTGACAATTAATACTTCAAGGAATGGAAGTACCACTATGTAGTCCTCCATTCCCTTACCGATGGGTATTCTTTTGTTCATTGTTTTCATTCACCCCTACGCAGTGTGGCATAAATGTCTTTCACGTGTGTCATCACACACAGATGCTGAGGGAAGGTGTTCTCTTTTCGGGTCCACAAGGGGGCAAGAAGTTCCTAGCGCCATGCACCCCTCCCATCTCTCTCCATCTGGGAGATTTAACAGTTGTTTAAGTCTCACGGGCGCTGGAAGAAACTAAGAGTCAATCACTCCCGCGGAAGTTCTAAGGAACTCCCTTCATTGGCCTGGCGTCTTAGAGAAGGTGAGGGTTCCTCCCAGGTTAAAAATCCCCTTCTTCCGCATCCCTTCAGACTCCATGTTTGGGTCCCCTTCCACGAATACTTGCTTCATGGAAGCCATCTTTCCCTCTCCTGGATTTCCCCTCTGGAGTCCCCTTCCACACTCTCTCATGGAAGCCTGTCTTCTCCTCCTAAACTCCATCTCTCTCCATTCCCTTCCACTCAGTGTGGAAGCTGCTCTCCTCTCCTGGATTCCATCTTTCTGGATTCTCTCACGCGGTGTGAGAGCTAGCTGTTTCCTTCTCTCTCCTCCTCCTGTTTCTCTCTCTCTAAATAAATCACTTTCTACAAACACTTTTGAGTCCGGCATTTACTGCACACTGCGCTGTGGTCCCCTCTCTCATTCTTGAGAGGGCAGGAGACCAAGAACCTGGAGAAACGTCCTCTCAGGGGAGCTGAGGGCACCCTGAACCCCTGTACCCCAATATTATAATGCTCACATTCAGGGCTTCTCATAGGAAAGTGTGGCTTCTGGGCCAAAGGGTATGAAGGGTATGGGTCTATTAAATTTCAATAGATGATGCTAAACTGCCCCTTTAAAAAGCTGTAATTCCACCAACCATAGTGTATGAGAACACCGTGCATCTCTGCCAACAGCAGGCATTATCACACTTACAGATTCTTTTTAGTCTAAAGGGTGTAAAGTAATATCTCATGGTAACTTTATTTTACATTTCTGTTGCTACTGGGAGGATTGGGCATACTTTCATATGTTTACTGATAATGTTAGGTTGGTGCAAAAGTAATTATGGCTTTTGCCATTACTTTTTTTGTTGTTGTTGAGACAGGGTCTTGCTCTGTCGCCCAGGCTGGAGTGTAGTGGTGCAATCTTGGGTCACTGCAACCTCCGGCTCACAGATTCAAGTGATTCTCTTGCCTCAGCCTCCCGAGTAGCCGGGATTACAGGCGTTGGCCACCATGCCTGGTTAACTTTTGTATTTTTAGTAGAGACGGGGTTTCACCATGTTGGCCAGGATGGTCTTGAACTGCTGACTTCAGGTGATCCACCTGCTTTGGCCTCCTAAAGTGCTGGAATTACAGGTGTGAGTCACCTCGCCTGGCCTATTTTTGCCATTACTTCCAATGGCAAAAACCGTGATTACTTTGACACAATCTGATCTATATTTGCTATTCTATTTGTATTATTTTGGCCATTTTTCTGTTGGGTTGTAGTTTTGTTATCTGGGACAACTATGCAGGCATTCAAACTGTTTCTCTGTCGTTTGTTTTGCATTTCTCCTTTCTGTTCTTTATCCTTTGTTTATCAAAATATCTTTTGCCAATGAAGCATGTCAGTCTCTTTCCTAGCTTTTGTGTTTCCTGTCTGAATTAGAAAGTTCTCCCAAACCTACAGGTCATACAGTATTGTCTCAAGCTTTGTGGAGAGGGAAATACTGATCACAGACAAAATCTAGTAAAAGGGAAGAAAGGAAAACATCGAGAAAGTTAATTAGGACATCCAGGAGAAACTGCTGCCAACAGCTAGAGCCTTAAGGTGAAAGACAGAAAACAGGCAGGGCGCAGGCAGCAGGTAGAATGGTTTGTCTTCTGTTAACCACAAGGGCGAGGGAGCCAAGGTGAGAGCCACTGTGTCTGCCACCACAACCCCTCCTCCTGCCCATCCCCACTGCATATTTTTTTTAAAAAACCATTGAGAATGCTCCTTGCCTAAAAAAAAAAAAAAAAAACCAACAAAATAGTCTTTAGTTTTTAGCAGTTTCTTTCTAGTTTTTCACAGAGTTTTATGAAGATTGGCTGCTGAACTTTGTAAGCAGCATTTTCAGCGTGTATTCAGTTAATCAGGAGGCTTTGTGTTTTCCTTTTAAATTGTTCATGTTTCCTTCCTCTGTCCCTCCCTCCCTCTCCTCCCTCCCTCCCTCCCCTCCCCTCTTTCCCCTCCTTTCCCTCCTTCCTTCCTTCTTTCCTTCCTTCCTCTCTCCCTTCCTTCTTCCCTCCCTCCCTCCTCCTTCCCTCCCTCCCTCCCTCCTCCTTCCCTCCCTCCCTCCCTTCCTTCCTTCCTTCCTTCTGCTGTTTCACAAAGACTCAAGTACAGTGTTGGAAAGCACTGTGGGGAGTGGCACCATGTTTCCCTCTGATTTTAATAGGGATGTTTCTTATGCTTTCCCACCAGTGAGGACATTAGCAGGAGTTTCATTTTATCTAGCCTTAGCAAATTAAGCACATTTCCTTCCACTCTTGTGTGCTAATTGTTTTTTTAATCAAGATGTTTATTAAATGCTTTTCTTTTTAATAACAGCATGTAACCACCCAGTGGGTTCTCTTTGCCTGCTGTCTAGACAGAGCCAGTATCATGACAGGGGAACTGCAATAGAGAAGGCGTTTAATTCATGCAGAGCTGGCTGTACAGGAGACTTGTGTTTTATTAGTACTCAAATCAGTCTCCCTGAAAGCTTGGGGATGGGGGTTTTAAGCATAATTTGGTGAATATGGGGGTCAGAAAGTAGGGAGCGCTGATTGGTCCTGTTGGAGATGAAATCATAGGGAGTCAAAGCTATTCTTTTGTGCTGAGTTAGTTTCTGGGTGGGGAGGCTACAAGACCAAATGAACCAGTTTACTGATCTTGGTGGTGCCAGCTGAGCCATCAGGTACAGGGTCTGAAAATATTTCAAGCACTGATCTTAGGTTTTACAACAGTGAAGTTATCTCCAGGGGCAATTTGGGGAGGTTCATAATCCTGCAGCCCCTAGCTGCTTGACTCCTAAACCATAATTTCTAATCTTGTGGCTAATTCGTTAGTCCTGCAAAGGCAGTCTAGTCTCCAGGCAGGAAGAGGGTTTGTTTTGGGAAAGGGTTGTTACCATCTTTGCTTCAAAATTAAATTATAAATGAAATCCCTCCCAAAGTTCATTCAGCCTATGCCCAGGAATGAACAAGAACAGCTTGGAGGTTAGAAGCAAGATGGAGTTAGTTAGGTCAGATCTCCTTCACTGTCGGAATTTTCTCAGTTATAATTTTTGCAAAGGCAGTTTCAAGCATGGAGGATTTCCACGGTTTTCCTCTTTGATCTGTTAATACGGCAAATTACATCAATATATTTTTCCTATGGAAACCTCCTCACAGTGGTGGACTTTAGCCAGATTTTAGGCTACCTGACACCTTCAGGGAAGTTTAAACTTTCTCTCTGAAGTTTTGATAATTGAGTCTGCTGAAATAGACTGACACAGATTAACAGGAGAAAAGTCATACAAATATATTAGCATGCAAGCACATGGGAATCATACAAGTATGAAACTCAAATAAAAGTCAGACAGTTGAAGCTTAAATACCCTCTTAATATAGAAGAGAAAAGTGGAGGATGTAGACAATTTTAGAGGAACAGGAAATGATTTTTAAAAACGATGAATGAGCCTGAAGCACAAATAATAGCTGAAGACAAAGTTCTTCTAGGCTGTGGGAGGGGTGGCGATAAGTTGTAGGAAGGTGAGGGTGGAACTGCATTGCAAAGTTGTCTTCTTATCCAGATAGTCTCTTGGTGACACCCCTCAGCACAGATGAAAATTCTGCTTATGCAGATGATCTTTAATTTCTTCTACAGTGAGTATCCCTTTTATTTTTATTTATTTTATTTTTTAATTTTTTTTTTAAGAGAGGTCTCATGGGACAACCAGGTTGAAAATGAGAGCCTTGAGTATCCCTTTTTAATTTGATTTCAAAGAGTGGATTGAAGGCAACTGTGTTTCTTTAAAAGAACTTCCCTCCGTCAGATAAAGGAACTTCAGGGAGAAGCAAGGGAACATCAGAGACCTTGATTTTGAGGCAGTTTGTAACCTTTCATTCAAGGTGCTTGGTACACCGAAGAGCTATACTTTGGGAGGGTTGTTTTCTGAGCCCAACACACCTGAGCCCTTTCCCCATGTCTGGGGACTCCCCTTCTTACCTATCTGGATGGGAAACAGCCTGCCTCTTATTATAGAGCTGAAAAACCAGTTTCTTACTTTCCCAGCTCCCTTGGCTGCTGGGACAGACATGTGACCAGGTTTAGCCAATCAAATTTACGTGCTGAGAACTTTCAGTCTGTAATTTGGGATCCAGAGAACAAGGATAGCGTGCCCTGAGCTGGTGCTGGGATCCTCAGCAGGCTGGTTCTGTGGTATGATATTTTCCATGGTTCTGGGTGCATGATTTCTCTCTCTTTTTTTTTAATTTGGGGGAGGATATATTCCAACTTGGGGGAAGGGTGAGGCATTTTAGCTCTGAAGCCCAATCATGACATTTCCAGAGTTCTGCAGTGCCCCGCCTTGGACAGGACAGGATGGAAGAGTCTGTTCTGGACTGGCTGGATTCCCCAGCGTCAAGCTGGCAGTGCTCCTGAGGCTCCTGAGTGTTTATCAACTCAGCAGGTCAAAAGTCTGCAGACACTGGGTGGAGCAGCAGTAAGCCACAAAACTAACAGTTGTCCTCCCCTGGTGCAGCCCTACCATTGGCGTCTCTCTCAAGGGAAAGAGCTTGGGGTAGACGATGGTAAACATAGGCTCACTACATCGATGACAGTGCCCCAGAGGGCAGTGCAGCAGCTCCGGGAGACTTCTGGGTAATGAGATTGGAGACAGAAAGTTCAAATCTTGCAGAAAGCTGTGGTAGGTATGATATAGACTTCTCATGGCCAGTTCCTGCAGAGGGAGGACGTGATCATGCTCTGTCCCTATGGCCTTCACCTCGGCTGGGAGGAAAATGGTTCGAGGCCCTGATGAAAAGGAAAGCAGCTTCACCTCGGAAACTTGAATGGGAGCACCACAGCCACTGCACCCAATGACCTTTATTGTACAGATAAAATGGCAAGCCTTTCAGGTTTATGTTGTTATCAACGTATACATATTGTAGTTCTCGAGATCGACCTAAATCAAGTGGCAAAAATGCAAGACGGTTTCCAGCCATGGAGAGCTCATTGAGGCTGGGCAGCTGGCAGAGATGGCGCGGCACATACCATAGACGATTTCGATCCACAGTGAGGTACTGCAGAGAAAGGCACATGTGAAGCCTCTCGGGTAAAGTTAGCAAACGATTGGTAGAAATGTCTAGTGTCTGCAGCTCCTTCAAATAGCCAACCTCTGGAGGTAGGAATTGCAGCCGGTTATTAGCCAATCGAAGATGACATAAAGCTCGCAGACGGCCAATTTCTGGGCAAACAATTTCTAAGGCATTGTCACTAAGATCCAGACATTGGAGTTTTACAAGGGACCCAATGGCTTCTGGTACCACAACTATGTTATTTGAGTGTAGGTATAGTTCCACAAGGTTTGGAAGCTTCTGAGCAAGGTTTTCTGGCAAGGTTGTCAGGGAGTTCCTTTTCATAGAGTCTCTCCAAGTACTGCAGTCCCTCATCTTTCAGTAACTCCAATGGAAAATGGTGCAGATTCCTATAATTTAAGAACAAATTCTTGTGCTTTTCCAGCGTTGCCACAGAGATCGTCTTACAAAGTTCAGATGCCATGACTGAATATATCCCATCAGGCAGGTTTGTAGCATTACATCTTGTCAAAATTGGTCCATTTCATAGTTCCATCGCAGGTGGACTGGTGCACTGCCGCCCTCAGCGCCGGCAGAGCCAGCGTTCCGGAGCGCCAGCGGCGCTGGAAGGCAAGCCGGGGACTGCGGGCAGGCGGGGAGGGGCGGGGCAGGGAGCCGGGCGGGGGCAGGCGGAGCGCCGGGCGGCGGGGGTGGCGGGGGCGGGGGCGGGGGCGGGGCCCCCGATTTCTCTTTAATCTGTCTGTTTTCTGAGCCTGGGCTTTCTGACAATTTGGTGAGCTACTAAATATTGTTTTAATACACTTATATTCTGCCTAAATAAATATGAATCTGTTTATGTTGTTTGCAGTTAAGATCCATGACTAATATATTTGCATTGTAGAATAAATCCTACTCATTCAAGCATTATTTGAAATCACCATTGGATTCAGTTTGTTAATATTTATACTTGTGTTCATAAATCAGATTGGCTGATAGTTTTCTCTTCTTGCACTGTTCTAGTCTCATTTTAGTATTAAATGGGTGCCAATTTTGGGGATTTTTTTTGGTTAGAAAAATTCCTACAGTAGAATTGCTAAATCAAGGAGTCTGTGCATTTTCAGTTTCGATGGCTATTGTCAAATTGGTATCCCAAGAAACTTTGCCAGGTTCCATTTTGACCAACAACATATACTGCCTGTTTCTCTCTATCCTTCCAAACAGATGTTATCAATCTGTTTCTATTTCTTCATGGGTGAGTTGAGCATCCTTGCATATGTTCAGAGTCTTTTCTTTCCCCAGCTGTTTTGTTTTCTATGAACTGTGTGTTGATGATCTTTGATAGGTGGTTATATTTTCCTCTTATGCTTTTTGTTGGGGAGGGAGGAGGCATGGGAGGGTCAAGGTTTAAACTTTTGTTTGCCAGTGACCTGTTGGCCTGAAGTTTTAACTCAGTTCCTCGATGTTGATTGTAATGGCTGTTGAAAACTGGAAGAGACCCTCACAAAGACCTGCAATGCAGAGGGAAGATGGCACGATGGGCTCTGCCTTCTAACTCAAAACGTTCACTTTCCGGTCGGCCAGTTATGCAAAGATTTTCATTGAAGTCTGGTGGAAAAAATGTCATATTCCCTAATGATAATCAGACTGTTCTATAAACCAGTCAGAAGTTGTTGCATTTTTCTATTTTTAACAAATGGGTACAAAACAAATACAATGAGGAAATTGTATTTCCAAATTTCTAAGGTGAGGAAATTCTATTTCCAAAGTTTTAAGTGTTCAGCTGAGAGAATTCTTATGAGTGGCCACATTCCTTTTGGCAACACAATCACATAAAGAAGGAAACATTTCAAAACATCTGTTTTCTAAAAGCATTTCCACAGTTATCTTAATTTAGCTGATGAGGAGCTCCCTCTAGGGGAAAGAAAAATATCAGCACCAGGGTTGCTTGCTTGTGCATTTCAGCCTAGGGGTTTTCCTGGAAATCTTTTTAATCCCCTTGCCTATGCTGGTAAGGCTTAGCATTGTTAGAACTAGACAGTGTGATCCACAAATGCTTTGTCAGTGCAGCACAGTCACAAATGACCATCTCTCTGCATGGAAAGCACATATATTGGTCTGTCTCTCTTACCAGAATGTGACCTTTACGTGGGGAGGGCTTTGCCTGTTTTATTCTTTTCTTTAATAGATGCCAGTAATAGTACCTGACACATAGCACAGTTCAATAAGTTTTGAATCAATGAAAAAACCTTTGAACAAAAGTTTTGAGTTTAGTGTTGCTTGGAATCCATGACTAGGCTCTGTGGCCAAGGGCAGGCATTTGTCTGTGACCTAAGGCTGAGTAGCCTGGGCTGAGGGTGTGGATGAGGTTTTGTTCAACTGGCTTAGGCCAAATGTATTCATTCAATGCTTATTTACTGAGCACCAGTATGTGCCAGACATTGTTGTAGGGGCTGGGCTCCCAACAGTGAAAAGGGAAGGCAAGATTCCTGAACTTAATGGGTAGTGATATAGAGAATGTTGAGATGGTAATACTTGTTACGGAGAAAAATCAAGCAGGCAAGGGAGACAGTATTCTGGCCGGAGAGGAGGTCTCTATTTTTTCTGTGGTGAGAGAAAGCTTCATTGAAAGGTGAAGGAGGAAGGGAAGAGGTTGAGCAGACATCTGGGAGACAGTCAGGCATCAAGGCACCGAAGCAGTAACATGCCCAGCATGTTTGAAGAACATGGAGGAGGCTGGTGTGGCAGAGCAGAGTAAGGGAGGGGGCGTCAGAAATATGTGGCCTCCAGATGTGAAATCCCTGGAGAGAATGGTTGAAGATTTTCCAGCAGTGAGAAAGGAACTTGTGAGTCAAGGGCAAAGCAGGCCTAGACCTTTCCTGCATCCTTCCCTGCTTCTAAAGGTGATTTTCAGGTTTTCTCTGAAACCATTTTCTTGGAAAGAGTCAGACTATGAATATGAGGTAACAATGCCTAAGGTGGTTCTGCTGCAGCCCACCTGTCACAAGGTGCGAGGTGTTCTAGGAGAGTGTGAAGTACAGAGGGGAGAACCCGCTGAAACAGATTCCAGCTGAACTAAGCTGACTAAGAGAGAGCACTTTAGACCCTGGGCATCAGAGGTGGAGGAAGGGACCGTCTACCTCTTTCAGCTCCTGTCTGCAGGGCACCAGGTCCACTTAACCCGAACTGTGACTACCACTCTTCATTGAAGAATCTTAATCTAAAAACTCTCAAAACCTCCCAACAGCCAGAAAGAAACACCTCCACTGGAGATGACAAAACAAGATTAACCTTTTTGGACACCGATCGAATTTCCTTTAGCCTCATTTTGTTGTCATTAGATTCTTTCGTGTTTTTGTTTTTTTACAGCCTACAAATCATTCTAAACTTTGTGGTTAAGTGGCGATGGGCAATGGTGCTGTCCTGGGCTTCCTGCTGGCTAGTTGAGGTGGGGCTGTGTGCTGGTGCCAGCACTTCTTGCTGCATCTGGAGTCATGATGTATTCAGCTAGCCTGGCTCCGGATGGAAAGCCTGGCTGCAGTCAGCACTCTAAGTCTGCCTGATCACCAGATCAGCAGAAGATGGCCAGTCTGAGGCTTCAGGGAAGAAATCTGTGAAAGGAGTGTCTAAGAACTATGTTCCACCACGCTTGGTTCCAGTACATTATGATGAAACAAGCTGAGCGGGAGAAGAAGCGTCTAGAACGAGCTAAGAGACGGGCATTGAGCAGCTCTGTCATTCGTGAACTTAAGGAGCAGTACTTAGATGCTCCAGAGGAAATCCGTGGTGCTCGGCATCCCCATGTTACCCACCAGAGTCAGGAGGACCAACACAGGATTAACTATGAGGAGAGCATGATGGTGCGTTTGAGCATCAGTAAAAAAGAAAGGACGGCGAAAACGAGCAAATGTCATGAGCTCACAACTTCATTCCCTTACACACTTCAGTGACATCAGTGCTTTGACAGGAGGAACTGCTCATCTTGATGAGGATCAGAATCCTGCTAAAAAGCGGAAGAAGATATCTAAGAAAGGTCGGAAGAAAAAAGGTTTTCTGAGGCGGCGGTGATTATGGGTGTGCATATTTGTATATTTTTTGTCATCCTGAGATACTTCTAATTTCATTGTATGTAGGCTGTTTTCCCTGAAATTTATTGTTTGTTTTGGATATGTGAAAAGAGCCTACTAATAAAATTGATTTTACTTTGCCAACTCCAGTTGTAAACCAATGACAGGGATACTATTCTAAGATGCTATAATACTTTAGAATTTGTATGTGCACAACATAACTTCAAAATATAAAAATAAAAAGGCTGATAGAATTACAAAGTAGATAATTCTATATTTTATACCTATTTCAGACACTCGTGGATCAAGGAGACAGAAATATGACAATAGGATATTTGAAAAATCCAGTACACACACACACACACACACACACACACACACACAAACACACACACATTTGAATTGTGGGAAATGGAGGCAATTGGGCCGAGAGTGGCAGAGCTTAGGATCATATGCATAGATGCATGAGGGGTCATGACCAGCCAAAATTATGAAGCCATCAGTGTTACAAGGCAGAGAAAACAAAGACAACAGAGATCATGAAAAAATGGTAGCAACAACACTTAGAGCATAAAAACATTGGCCAAACTGGAGAGACCAGCCCAGAATGAATGACACTGAATGAAGTCCTGAGGAGTCCCACAGCTACTTGCATTCCATTCAAGTCTTTGAGATACTCCATTTTATGACTTTTTCATTTGTTTGAGACAGAGTATCGCTCTGTTGCCCAGGCTGGAGTGCAGTGGGGCCATCTTGGCTCACTATAGCCTCTGTCTCCCTGTTCAAGTCATTCTCCTGCCTCAGCCCTCTGAGTAGCTGGGATTACAGGTGTGCGTCACAATGCCCAGCTAATTTTTGTATTTTTAGTAGAGATAGAGTTTTGCCATGTTGGCCAGGCTGATCTCAAACTCCTGACCTTTAATGATCCCCCTGCCTTGGCCTCCCAAAGTGCTGGGATTACAGGCGTAAGCCACCATGCCCGGCCCATGTTATGACTTTTGAAATTTTTACTTTTTTTTTGAGACGGAGTCTTGCTCTGTTGCCTAGGCTGGACTGCAGTGGAGTGATCTTGGCTCACTGCAGCCCCTACCTCCCAGGTTCAAGCAATTCTCTGCCTCAGCCTCCCAAGTAGCTGGGATTATAGGCTCCCGCCACCATGCCTGGCTAATTTTTGTATTTTTAGTAGAGGCTGGGTTTCACCATTTTGGCCAGGCTGCTCTTGATCTGCTGACCTTGTGATCCACCTGCCTTGGCCTCCCAACCATTTTATGACTTTTTAAACCTGCATCTGCACAACGCTCTCTTCCTTGTATTGGTCTCGTATTGGCCATCAGTCATGTGAGCTCGTTCAAGAAAAGCCATCCTTCTTGTACAAAGGGAAATAAAGTAAAATCTCTTTTTGACTGTCTTGCCACAGCTATGACGCAGTGCCGTGGTGGACACATAGTTGGGTGGGTAGCGTACAGGAGAACCTGGACTGCCGGGAAGTCCTGGTGGGACTTGTCCCTCCACCTGGTGCTGGCTGTCGCAGCTTAATCTTGAGGTTTC